AAAGAGAGAGAGAGAGAGAGAGAGAGAGAGAGAGAGAAAGAGAGAGAGAATGACAGATGGACAGGCAAGCAAACGGACAGACAGACAGAAAAACAGATAGACAAAGACCAGTGATGCCCGCCGACCGACCCAGAGAATCTAAGGAACAAGGAAAATCGTCAAAAAGAAAGAACTATAGTAAGATCGTTAAAGAGCTTTTACCTGAAACCGCTTTACTATTGCAAAGTGCTGAGTCGCCGATTTTGGATGGCACATCGTGTACGCTGCTTTAATAGCCTCCACCAGCTGATCCTCTGTCTCTTTTGCAGTGCTTTTTTCATCAATCGACGACGACGACGACGACGACGACGACGACGACGACGAAGTCGATGGTGACGGCGAATTTAATAATGACAAATTCTCAAAGCCAAGTTCAGGTGCTAACCTGCTGAAATCTTGATAATCTTCGCCTACAACTTGACCAGTGGTGGCTGATGTGGTAGGTATTTGAAGCGTTTCTTGGAACTCCATCATGTTTAGTGTGACATGTGGCCGCGGGGACAAATCGTAGAGCAGCTCCGGCGAAGAAGAGAAAGAGTCAAACATCGGTGATGAAGGCAACATGTTTGAATCTTGGGATGGAGCTATATTGCTATCTGTCACTGGCGGGTTGTGCATCGTAACATGGGGCAGGCTTCGTGCAGAGGGACAGTTTAGATCGCTGTCAACTGTTTGTAAATGAACGGCTCCAGATTCGTTAGTTAATGACGTATCAAGAGCAAAAGAGATGCCACCAAAGTCGAAAGGTTCTAAAACATCGAATGGTATTAGGGGAGATTTATCAGAGGTAAGCCTGCAGTTGGTATTGTGTTTTGCACTCTCATCGTGAGCGTTTTCAACTGCAGGCTCTTTGACAGTGGCTGAAAATCCCAGCCCGTCATCCTGTAGTCCGCTAACGCTGTTCTTGTTATACACCAGAACGACATTGCTGTCACAGCCACCAGTCACTTCCGGTTGCTGTTGTTGCTGTCGTTCCTGCCGCTGCTCCTGCTGCTGTTCCTGCTGCTGTTCCTGCTGCTGTTCCTGCTGCTGTTCCTGCTGCTGTTTCTGCTGCTGTTCCTGCTGCTGTTTCTGCTGCTTTTGCTGCTGTTGCTGTTCCTGTTCCTGTTGTTGCTTCTGCTGTTGTTGCTCTTCCCTGGCCAATTTGGCTGCTATGATATTTTTCGTCCTTGTCTCACTTGTGTAACGGCCGATTTTCACAGCTTTGGACACGGATGGGTTTTTTTATTGGGGAGG